AAAGAAAAAAATGATAGAAAGAAAGAAAGAAAAAAGAACATAGAAAGAAAGAAAAAAAGACCATGGGAGAAGGAGGGTGAAGAAAAGCAAAAATGAAGAGAGAGAGAGAGAGAGAGAGAGAGAGGAGAATAAAAGATAGAGAGACAGTAAAGATAAAAAATGATAAAAAGAAAGAGTTTCAAAAGAACATAGAAAGAAAGAAAATAGAAATGTGAGAAGTAGGTGAATAGAAAGAAAAAAGAAAGAGAGAGAGAGAGAGAGAGAGAGAGAGAGAGAGAGGAGAGAATGGAGATAGAGAGACAGTAATTTCGAAAAAAAATGATAAAAAAGAAGAGTTTCAAAAGAACATAGAAAGAAAGAAAAATAGACCATGTGGAGAAGAAGGGTGAATAAAAAAGCAAAAAATGAAAAGAGAGAGAGATAGAGAGAGAGATAGGAGAATAACTGATAGAGAGACAGTAACTGATAAAAATGATATAAAACGAAGAGTTTCAAAAGAACATAGAAAGAAAGAAAAATAGACCATGTGAGAAGAAGGGTGAAGAAAAAAAAAATGAAAAGAAGAGAGAGAGAGAGAGAGAGAGAGAGAGAGAGAGGAGAATAAAGATAGAGAGACAGAAAGAATAAAATGATATAAAACGAAGAAGTTTCAAAAGAACATAGAAAGAAAGAAAATAGACAATGTGAGAAGGAGGTGAATACAAAGACAAAAATGAAGAGAGAGAGAGAGAGAGAGAGAGAGAGAAGGGAGAAAAAACTGATAGAGAGACAGTAATTTGAGAAAAAAATGATATAAAACGAAGAAAGAAAAAAGAACATAGAAAGAAAAAAAAAAATAGAAAGGGAGAAGGAGGGTGAAAGAAAAAGCAAAATGAAAAGAGAGAGAGAGAGAGAGAGAGAGAGAGAGAGAGAGGGAGAATAACTGATAGAGAGACAGAAAGAAAGAAAAAAATGATATAAAACGAAGAAAGAAAAAGAACAAAGAAAGAAAGAAAAAAAGAAAGACATGTGAGAAGGAAAGGTGAAAAGAAAACAAAAATGAAAGAGAGAGAGATTGAGGAGGAGAATAAAAGAAAGAGAGACAGTACTTGATAAAAAATGATATAAAACGAAGAAAGAAAAAAGAACATAGAAAGAAAGAAAAAAAGACCATGTGGAGAAGGAGGGGTGAAACAAAGAAAAAATGAAGAGAGAGAGAGAGAGAGAGAGAGAGAGAGAAGAAAGAAAGAGAGACATTAATTTGACAAAAATGATAGAAAAACGAAGAAAGACAAAAGAACATAGAAAGAAAGAAAAAAACAGACCATGTGAGAAAGAAAGAAAGAAAACAAAGAAAAAAATGAAGAGAGAGAGAGAGAGAGAGAGAGAGAGAGAGAGAGAATAACTGATAGAGAGACAGAAATTTCGAAAAAAATGATATAAAACGAAGAGTTTCAAAAGAACATAGAAAGAAAGAAAATATACCATGTGAGAAAGAGGGTGAATACAAAGAAAAATGAAAAAGAGAGAGAGAGAGAGAGAGAGAGAGAGAGAGGGAGAGAGAAGAAACTGAGAGAGAGACAGTAGATTTGATAAAAATGATATAAAACGAAGAGTTTCAAAAGAAAGAAGAAAGAAAAGAAAGAAAAAATATAGAATGTGAGAAGGAGGGTGAATACAAAGAAAAAATGAAGAGAGAGAGAGAGAGAGAGAGAGAGAGAGACAGAGGAGAAGAAAGAAAGAGAGACAGTAAAAAGATAAAAAATGATATAAAAAGAAAGTTTCAAAAGAACATAGAAAGAAAGAAAAAGAGAGACAAGTGGAGAAGGAGGGTGAATACAAAGAAAAAATGAAGAGAGAGAGAGAGAGAGAGAGAGAGAGAAAGAAGGAGAAAGAGAGAGACAGAAAGAAAGAAAAAAATGATAAAAAACGAAGAGAAAGAGAACATAGAAAGAAAGAAAATAGACCATAGAGAAGGAGGGTGAATACAAAGAAAAATGAAAGAGAGAGAGAGAGAGAGAGAGAGAGAGAGGGAGAAGAAAAGATAGAGAGACAAAAATTTGAAAAAAAATGATATAAAACGAAGAAAGAAAAAGAACATAGAAAGAAAGAAAAATAGACCATGGGAGAAGGAGGGAAAAAACAAAGCAAAAAAGAAAGAGAGAGAGAGAGAGAGAGAGAAAGAGGAGAATAACTGATAGAGAGACAAAATTTTGAGAAAAAAATGATATAAAACGAAGAGTTTCAAAAGAACATAGAAAGAAAAAAAGAAAAATAGAAAGATGAGAAGGAGGGTGAAACAAAGAAAAAATGAAAGAGAGAGAGAGAGAGAGAGAGAGAGAGAGAGAGAGAGGGAGAAAACTGATAGAGAGACAGAAAGAAAAAAAATGATAAAAAAGAAAAGAAAGACAAAAAGAACATAGAAAAAAGAAAAATAGAAAAATGTGAGAAGGAGGGTGAAAACAAAAGAAAAAAAAGAAAGAGAGAGAGAGAGAGAGAGAGGAGGAGAAGAACTGATAGAGAGACAGTAATTTGAAAAAATGATATAAAAAGAAGAGTTTCAAAAGAACATAGAAAGAAAGAAAAATAGACCATGTGAGAAGAAGGAAAGAAAAAAAGCAAAAATGAAAAGAGAGAGAGAGAGAGAGAGAGAGAGAAAGAACTGAAAGAAAGACAGTAATTGATAAAAAATGAATAAAACGAAGAAAAGAAAAGAACATAGAAAGAAAGAAAAATAGACACATGAAAGAAAGGAGGTGAATACAAAGAAAAAATGAAAAGAGAGAGAGAGATAGAGAGAGAGGGAGAATAAAAGATAGAGAGACAGTAATTTTGAAAGAAAAATGATAAAAAAAACGAAGAGTTTCAAAAGAACATAGAAAGAAAGAAAAATAGACCAAGTGAGAAGAAAGGGACACATACAAAGAAAAAAAAAAAAAGAGAGAGAGAGAGAGAGAGAGAGAGAGAGAGAGAGGAGAATAAAAGATAGAGAGACAGAATTTTGATAAAAAAATGATATAAAACGAAGAGTTTCAAAAGAAACATAGAAAGAAAGAAAAATAGACCATGAGAAGGAGGGTGAAGACAAAGGAAAAAATGAAGAGAGAGAGAGAGAGAGAGAGAGGAGAATAACTGAAAGAGAGACAGAAAGAAAGACAAAAAATGACATAAAAAAGAAAGAGTTTCAAAAGAACATAGAAAGAAAGAAAAATAGACCATGTGAGAAGGAGGGTGAATACAAAGCAAAAATGAAGAGAGAGAGAGATTGAGGAGGAGAAAAAAAGATAGAGAGACACAAATTTGAAAAAAATGATAGAAAAACGAAGAGTTTCAAAAGAACATAGAAAGAAATAAAATAGAAAATGGGAGAAGGAGGGTGAATACAAAGAAAAAAAAAGAAGAGAGAGAGAGAGAGAGAGAGAGAGAATAACTGATAGAGAGACAGTAATTTGATAAAAAATGATATAAAACGAAGAAAGAAAAAGAACATAGAAAGAAAGAAAATAGACCATAGAGAAGGAGGGTGAATACAAAGCAAAAAAGAAAGAAGAGAGAGAGAGAGAGAGAGAGAGAGAGAGAATAACTGATAGAGAGACAGTAATTTTGAAAGAAAAAATGATATAAAACGAAGAGTTTCAAAAGAACATAGAAAGAAAGAAAAATATACCATGTGAGAAGGAGGGTGAATACAAAGCAAAAAATGAAGAGAGAGAGAGAGAGAGAGAGAGGGGAGAGAGAATAACTGATAGAGAGACAGTAATTTTGATAAAAAATGATAGAAAAACGAAGAGTTTCAAAAGAACATAGAAAGAAAGAAAAAATAGACCATGTGAGAAGGAGGTGAATACAAAGACAAAATGAAAGAGAGAGAGAGAGAGAGAGGAGGGAGAATAACTGATAGAGAGACAGTATTTTGAAAAAAATGCTATAAAACGAAGAGTTTCAAAAGAAACATAGAAAGAAAGAAAAATAGAAAAAATGGAGAAGGAGGGTGAATACAAAGCAAAATGAAGAGAGAGAGAGAGAGAGAGAGGAGGAGAACAACTGATAGAGAGACAGAAACTTGATAAAAATGATAGAAAACGAAGAAAAAAAAGAAAAAGAAAGAAAGAAAAAAATAGACCATGTGAGAAGAAGGTGAATACAAAGAAAAAAAATGAAGAGAGAGAGAGAGAGAGAAAGAAAGGAGGGAGAATAGATAGAGAGAAAGACAGATAAAAAATGATAAAACGAAGAGTTTCAAAAGAACATAGAAAGAAAGAAAAAATAGAAAGGGGAGAAGGAGAAAGAAAGAAAGCAAAAATGAAAGAGAGAGAGAGACAGAGAGAAAGGGAGAATAACTGATAGAGAGACAGTATTGAAAAAATGATATAAAACGAAGAGTTTCAAAAGAACATAGAAAGAAAGAAAAAATAGACCATGTGAGAAGGACAAAAAGAAAACAAAGCAAAAATGAAAGAGAGAGAGAGAGAGAGAGAGAGAAAGGAGAATAACTGATAGAGAGACAGTAATTTTGAAAAAAATGATATAAAAGAAGAGTTTCAAAAGAACATAGAAAGAAAGAAAAATAGACCATGTGAGAAGGAGGGTGAATACAAAGCAAAAATGAAAGAGAGAGAGAGAGAGAGAGAGAGGAGGAAGAATAACCGATAGAGAGACAGTAATTTGAAAAAAAATTATATAAAAAGAAGAGTTTCAAAAGAACATAGAAAGAAAGAAAAATAGACCATGGGAGAAGGAGGTGAATAGAAACAAAAAAAAGAAAGAGAGAGAGAGAGAGAGAGAGAGAGAGAGAGAAGAACTGATAGAGAGACAGTACTTTGAAAAAATGATATAAAACGAAGAATTACAAAAGAACATAGAAAGAAAGAAAATAGACCATGAAAGGAGAAGGAGGGTGAAACAAAGCAAAAAAAGAAAGAGAGAGAGAGAGAGAGAGAGAGGAGGAGAATAAACTGATAGAGAGACAGTAATTTCTGAAAAAAATGATATAAAACGAAGAGTTTCAAAAGAACATAGAAAGAAAGAAAAATAGACCATGTGAGAAGGAGGGTGAATACAAAGCAAAAATGAAAGAGAGAGAGAGAGAAAAAGAGAGGATGGAGAATAACCTATAGAGAGACAGTAATTTGATAAAAAATGATATAAAACGAAGAGTTTCAAAAGAACATAGAAAGAAAGAAAAATAGACCATGTGAGAAGGAGGTGAATACAAAGCAAAAAATGAAGAGAGAGAGAGAGGGAGAATAACCGAGAGAGAGACAGTAATTTGATAAAAAATGATATAAAACGAAGAGTTTCAAAAGAACATAGAAAAAGAAAGAAAATAGACCAAGGGAGAAGGAAGGTGAATAAAAAAAAAATGAAAGAGAGAGAGAGAGAGAGAGAGAGAGGAGGAGAATAAACTGATAGAGAGACAGTATTGATAAAAATGATATAAAACGAAGAGTTTCAAAAGAACCTAGAAAGAAAGAAAAATAGACCATGTGAGAAGGAGGGTGAATACAAAGCAAAAATGAAGAAGAGAGAGAGAGAGAGAGAGAGAGAGAGAATAAACTGATAGAGAGACAGTAATTTTGATAAAAAATGATATAAAACGAAGAATTACAAAAAGAACATAGAAAGAAAGAAAAATAGACCATGGAGAAGGAGGTGAATAAAAGCAAAAATGAAAGAGAGAGAGAGAGAGAGAGAGAGGGGAGAATAACCGATAGAGAGACAGTAATTTGATAAAAAAAATGATATAAAAACGAAGAGTTTCAAAAGAACATAGAAAGAAAGAAAAATAGACCATGGAGAAGGAGGGTGAATACAAAGCAAAAAAAATGAAGAGAGAGAGAGAGAGAGGAGGGAGAATAACTTGATAGAGAGACAGTAATTTGATAAAAAAATGATATAAAACGAAGAGTTTCAAAAGAACATAGAAAGAAAGAAAAATAGACCATGTGAGAAGGAGGGTGAATACAAAGCAAAAATGAAGAGAGAGAGAGAGAGAGAGAGAGAGAGAGAGAGAGAGAGAGAAGGGATGTTAAAATAGAGAGATTAAGAAACTGCCGGTCATCTGATGAAAATGATAAAATTCAAAACAATGAAGGTGTTTCAAAATAGAAAGAGAGAGTGTTTTTTTGTTTTTCTTTTTTAAAAAGATAGGAAAGAAAGAAAGAAAGAAAGAAAGAAAGAAAGAACGGAATAGAAAGAAAGAAAAAAGAAAAAAATAGAAAGAAAGAATACCTTAGAGTGCAGAAAGAAAGAAAGAAAGAAAGAAAGAAAGAAAGAAAGAAAGAAAGAAAGAAGGAAAAAGAGGATGTAACAAAGAACGAGAATACTCCCGCCCATCACCACCACTACCAACAAAAGAGAAGAAAAGGAAGAAAGCAATTTGTCGAAAAAGATAATAAGAAATAGAGTGGCGGTCGTCTAGGAAAAAAAAAATGAAAGAAGAAAAAATAAAAGAGAAAAAAATTGAAGGAAAAAGATAGACATATCAAAAGATGAAAGTAGTAACGAGAATAAATTTACGTGTGGAAAGATAAAGCGGGAAAAACGCCGAGAGAGAGAAAGACATGACCAAAGAGGCGTGGCGGACATCGTAGTTTATCAGTGGCTATCATTCATTTTGGGGACCGCTTATTGGTATCGTTTTATCTTTTCTCTCGGCCTCGTTATAACTTGTTCATCTCTATACTTAGCGGTCAGTAATATTTAGGCCTCTCGGCCGTCATGTTCTCGCTGCTCCCAGTGACAAGTTGATTGTGGTTTGCACTTGTATAAGTCCCCAGAGTTCCGGCTCTCAAACGTAAGAGATGTGAGATACCAAGCGGTTTGTGCGTGGAATGGCAGTTACACGAAAGGAGGAATTTTTAAACGTGCTTTCAACTTAGTCGCATAGTCTGTCAATCAGGTTGGTAGCCGTTCGATGAGAGAGATTTAGACGAAGATCGGAGATTTAGAATGAAGGGAAAGAGAGATCATTTTAAAAGATAATAAAAAATGTGTAGTTAGATACAGAGCCCGGACATCGACTATGGGACTCTGAGGTGTCTATCTAATAGATAGATAGATAGATAGATAGATAGATAGATAGATAGATAGATAGATAGATAGATATTAGTAGAAGACTGGGAGAGACAGGTAGAAAGATATAGATAGAGGAAAGAAACAAAGTGTAGAAAAGAAAATAAGAATTAGTTATGAACAGAAAAATTGCGGACACTGGCTATGGGAATCTGAAGTGTCTATCTAATAGACAGACAGACAGACAAATAGATAGATAGATAGATAGATAGATAGATAGATAGATAGATAGATAGATAGATAGATAGTAGACTGGGAGAGACAGAAAGATATAGAGATAGATAGAGGAAAGAAAAAAGAGAGAAACGAAAATAAGAATTAGATATGAATAGAGAAATTTCGAACATAATGATCATGAAGAGTCTATCTTAAAGATAGATTGATAGTGAACAGACTGAGATAGACAGACAGACAGATAGATAGACAGATAATGAACATTCTGTGATAGATAGATAGATAGATAATGAAGAGATTGATATAGATAAATAAATAGATAGATATAAACAGACTGAGATAGATTGATAGATAGATAGATAATGAAAAGACTAAGTTATATATATATATATATATATATATATATAGATACATAGACAGATAGATATCTATAAACAGACTGCGATAGATAGTTTTACAGACAGACAGATAATGAACATACTGAGATAGATAATCAACTGATTGCGACAGATAGATATATAATAAAGCGACTGAGATAGATAGATAGATAGATAGATAGATAGATATGTATGAAGAGATTGAGATAGATAGATAGATAGATAGATAGATAGATAGATAGATAGATAGATAGATAGATATGTATGAAGAGATTGAGATAGATAGATAGATAGATAGATAGATAGATAGATATGTATGAAGAGATTGAGATAGATAGATAGATAGATAGATAGATAGATATGTATGAAGAGATTGAGATAGATAGATAGATAGATAGATAGATAGATATGTATGAAGAGATTGAGATAGATAGATAGATAGATAGATAGATAGATATGTATGAAGAGATTGAGATAGATAGATAGATAGATAGATAGATATGTATGAAGAGATTGAGATAGATAGATAGATAGATAATGAACAGACTAAGATAGATAGATATAAACAGAATGAGATAGATAAATAGATAATGAAGAGACTGCGACAGATAGATAGATAGATAGATAGATAGATAGATAGATAGATAGATATGTATGAAGAGATTGAGATAGATAGATAGATAGATAGATAGATAGATAGATAGATAGATAATGAACAGACTGAGAGTAATTGGACATGATTAAATGTAATTGACAGAACTGCCCAACAATCAGAATTGACGAAGTTTGCAATAAACAACAACAAGAAAAAGAAAAGAACAGGGCAAAAATAATATTAATAAAAAAAAAAAAACGATATATGAAAAACAAAGACATGCCGAAATTTCTCACAACTAAGAATGGTGTTAACACACAAAAGGGGATACAGACAAGCGATCGCAGGTAAGAACGAACAGATTTGAGTCTGATTAGACCGAGAAGTGGCCTATCTTAATGGATAGAAAAAAATCCCAGCATGCATTTTTGTGGCTATACTTATAAATCTGAAGATAATTTGGACTCTGGGAGTCGTTATTTTGTAATTTTTTTGTTACACTTTGTTATACATATTGTCCTTGTTCCTGTTTGTCATTGATTGTCATCTCTGTGTATTATTTTTTTAAACTTTTTATTAAACATTTGTGCTGTGTGGTAGCCCTGGCCGCAATGGCAGGATCTCTCCCAGCAGCTGGAGCACCTCGTGTCTCCGAACTCGTCGACTTGGGCGTCGGGTAGGCCTAAAACGAAGAAAGATGTAGAGAATTATGCGGCATTGTACTATCGTTACTGGGACTACATCTCTGGTAACGAATTATTTTTCATACAGTCAGCATTGAAGGCGGGGTGGTTACCAGGAGGATCTCTTTGCTAACTACGGATGTAAAAACCCCGAAATTAATCTGCGTCAGCAGAGAGACTATGAAGGAGGTTCTGAAAAGCATCAATATTGGTGCCAAGGTATTGGCCAAAAGATCAAATGCCATGTGAGACATCATGCTGGCAACAGTAGAGGCAGCAAAAAGATTGGCGGGAAACATCCTCATCACCAAATCGGTGCGGTTGCAAATACATATGCCCCCGCAAGACGAAAGTGACGCTTCATGAGGTGCCCATAGACATGACCGAGGAACATTCAGAAGATTTCTTCTTTCTTTTGGGTCAGTTGCGGATGTCTCGTCTCAAATTAGCAAAGCGGGGATTTCCCTAGGTGACTTTGTGCTCCAGGTGACAGTGACCAGTAAAAGCTTTATGGACATCCGTGAGACAAACTGGTCTGCCGGGGAAGATCGATCCTTGTCATCGTGGAAGGATAAAGGCACCACTGCTGTTCTTGTAGCGCCACTGGGTACTTGTTCGAGACGGAACCCGGCACCACAAATCAAATCAATATCACCCAAGAAAGCAGTGGGGAATTAAAAGACAAATAAAGCCCTTGATGACCACGATGGATGGAAAAAGCAACGGAAAGATCAGCAGCGGAAAGAGCAGCAGCAGAAGCCGTAGCAGCAGCCTAAACAGAAGCAACTGCAGATGCAACAGCGAGGAGCAGCAGTCGCAAAAACAACAGCAGTCGCAAAAACAGCAGCAATCGCAAAAACAGCAGCAGTCTCAGCAGCAGTCTCAGCAGCAGTCTCAGCAGCAGTCTCAGCAGCAGCAGCCGCAACTGATGCGGCTGCCAGAACAAGGAGGCAGAGAAACGGCTGTCACAGCTTGACCTCTATATGGAGGTAAAGGAGGTACCCCCACCTAGGCTCTCAACTTTGAAAAGGAGGGAAGAAGAAGAGGAAGAAGACAGATCGAAAAGGAGCAGAAATCTGGTCGAATTAAAGCAGAGAAGGCCATGAACCAAGACCTAATCTTCTCCTGCTTCGCCAGGAAGCACTGAACAGCCGACATATGCAGGTAAAGCTAGGAGCCTCACTTCTTCTTCCAGGTATCCACCACCTCCTTCCCCTAACACATCACAGAAAAAGGAAAGTGGACCACCGGGGCCTCAAGAGAGACCTTTCCTCTCAGTTGAAGGTCTTTTGAGACCTCTTTTCAAGATTACCTGCATTGACAGGAATTCAACGGAGGTCTTCAGGAACTTTCGCTCCTCCAGTGCGGTGATAAAGGTGAATGCGAAGCGGTCGAGTGCTTTTGTGCTATAACAGTCTATTCGTCAGATTTGTTTGGTTAAATATTCTCGATATGAGAAATTCTATTATTTTTTTTTTAAAGAGAATGTCTCATATTGAGAATATTTAATATTGAAAAAACATAAAGAAAAAAATTAATTATTTTTAATATGTGGAAATCTCCACCCTTTGCCTGATGACGGTCGCGAGACCAGAAACACGTGTAGCAAAATTATGGAAAATAAAGTATAATATTTTTTTTTTAAATCCACATTACAACCAAAAACGTTTGCGGTTTCTCTCTCTATATATATATCAATAAATCAATAAATAATGCTCATTGGTCTTATTTTCTTGGCCAACTCCAGACTTTCGAGACAAAATGCTGACGAGCTGATGATTTGTCGAATATCTGGCAATGACGATGTTTTTGATGCAAGATTCTGGATTTAGTCAAGTTGATAAATCGAAATAGATAGATAGATAGATAGATATGAACAGACGATAGATAGATAGATAGATAGATAGAAACAGACTGAGTGAGATAGATAGATAGATAGATAGATAGATAGATAGATAGATAGATAGATAGATACGAACAGACTATAGATAAATAGAGAGATAGATATGAACAGACGATAGATAGATAGATAGATAGATAGATAGGAACAGACTGAGTGAGAGAGATAGATAGATAGATAGATAGATACGAACAGACTATAGATAAATAGATAGATATGAACAGACGATAGATAGATAGATAGATAATGAACAGACTATAGATAGATAGAGAGATAGATAGATAGATAGATAGATAGATAGATAGATATGAACAGACGATAGATAGATAGATAGATAGATAGATAGATAGATAGATAGATAGATAGATAATGAACAGACTATAGATAGATAGATAGATAGATAGATAGATATGAACAGAAGATAGATAGATAGATAGATAGATAGATAGATAGATAGATAGATAGATAGATAGATAGAGTGAGAAAAAAAGACTCCTATAGTTAAAATAGTGGATTGAGAAATAAAAGGAAAACACTCGGGTGTGCGTTACCTCTTTTTCAAGGCAGGTCAAAGGATATATACGGAATATATATCTTACTGCTGCATGCAATGCATTCCAACCGCGGAGAAGGTGCTGCACGTGTCATCATTAGTATTGTTAGGACGGCCCACTGGATAAGCCTGACGTCAGAAGTTGTACTTGACTGATGATGCTCTGTTGATCCTATGGGTGGGTAAATGACCTGTTTGCTCCCACTCTCTGGAAATCCAAGATAGATAGATA